GTAGGGAAAATTTGTATGTAATGCTAAGGAATCTAATTACTGAGTACAGATTAAGAAAAAATTTGTACTATAGACGCATCTGTGGAAGATAGTAAGTAATAATTCTGGAAAGCATGAAGATAAATTGTGTGCCCTGTTTGGGAAGGGGGTGTAATACTACATGCTAATCCATTGGTTGTACATTTAATCTATAATGGGCAGAGCCTGATATCTATAATAGTGTAAATATTTTCAAATAGTGTCATAAAGTAGATAGTTTACTACAGTAGATATTAATTCTGTCCCATTTTCTAAAACAAGTAGAGAAACTCTTGGAGTTTAAAAATAATGAGTGGGAGCTCTCTCCTCTGTTCTCTTTCAATTGGAGAAATGATAATGGGGGAGCTGGACATTAATCTGGTGGTTATGGCTCAGATCAAAAGCACTGGTAATTATTTTAACCCTGAAGACTTGTGTGGTCTCAATAGATTTGATTATTCTTGTGTTATTGCTGAGAAAGAATGTATTTATTTTAACACACACCTTGAGTCCATGTAGGCATTTCAGTCACAGCTTGTCTTAAGTGTGTTTTCTTTATCTTTGATTTTATTTTAGAAATGAGCCATCCAGTGAGAAATTCAGAGAAGACTTCATTTCAGGACAGAAAGTTTATTTTTCTCTGTTTTTTGTGGATTCCTTCTGCAATGAAAAGCTTTTGTTGATCTTAAAAGTGGTTGCAAACTTGGGAACCAGCAGTTAGCGTAATGGCTGTGTCGCTGGACTCCCACGTAGTCGACCGCGGTTCGTGTCCCGGACCCGGTGGCTTAAAACTCACGCCGGGCGCGTGTGCGTGCGTGCCCAAGATCCCGAGAGGAGAATGGAGGAGAAGGGATTGCGGCGTGACCATCCCCCCTGGGGGGTGATTTCTCGCTTTCTGTCTCTATGTCTCTCTCTGTCTGTCTGGCGAGCGCACGCGCCCTACAGTGAAAATCTCTCCAAAAAAAAAAAAAAAGTGGTTGCAAACTTCAGAGAGAATTTAAAAAATAGCCCTCCAGTAACAATAGCGGTGGTCAATTTCATGAAAGATATAATCTCTACTGGGGTTGAGTGAGTGAGTAATGACTGGTCTGAATGAGTTCCCTCCCCTTTATGTGTACCTTAGTTTTGACTGATTATTTCAGCTCAGTTGAGGATTAGGCACTAATCCTCTCTACTCTGGTTGACTGGCCTCCTGGCCATGGACTTGATGGTGGTGACCTATTCAAAGTATTTGAACTATTAAAGCAAAAATTATACTGGGTAAAGTTAAACAAGGAAGACTTTATTCAAGGCTATTGCAATAGGGAGGAGAGATCAGAATGCAGTTTGAAATCCACTTCATCAAACAAGAGGTTTTTAAGAGGACGGTTTTTAAGTATTAGAGTGAACTAGTGGAAGTATGCTGAAGGACTTTTGGGGGAGAGTTGGTCAATGGTTGTGTGGAGCATATTCTGTTATTCTTGAGTTTGCAAATTTTTTCTTTGTGATTAGACCATCTGTGTTTACTAATTGGTGCCTATCAAAGCCAGGCTCCTACTCACCCACAGAAACCGGAGACAGGACACCATCTTTCTTGATGATTACACTTCAAAAGGATGGCTCCCAAGTCCTTGTGGAAGACATTCTTGGGTTGTAAAATTGGCAAGCAGTTCCTAAAATGATTTACATGTCAAACAGTCAGAGCAGTAATTGCAATGATAAGTTTTCTAAAGTAAATACTCTAAGACAAAGGGAGATCATGAGCCTAGATTCAGAAAGCAGCCTGTATACTCAAGCTTGGGGAATGTTAACATCTTAGTAAGTACAGATTTTTAAAATTTAAACGATTATAGTAGGAAACTTTTTGAGTCTGGCTCAATTTTAGATTTTTATTACAAAATTAGTTGCTTCTTTGTGATACTTAATAAAATGTGAATACTGGGAGAAACAGCAAATGGCATAATTGTGACGTCACTGGACTCCAATATATATAGTCGTTGACTGCAGTTTGAGTTCCAGATAGAGTGTCTTAAAACTCACGCTGCCCATGTGTGCATTCATGGCCAAAATCCTAAGAGGAGAATGGAGGAGAATGGAGAAGGGATTGCGGCATGACCATTCCCTCTGGGGGGTGATTTCTTGCTTTCTGACTCTCTGTTTCTCTAGCGAGCACATGTACCCTATAGCAAAACTCTGAAAAAGAAAGTGAATGTTATTAATTTTACACCAGTATCTAGAAATATGTATCAGTCAGGATATCTAAAGATAAGTCAGGATATCTAAAGATAGTATTTTTGGGGTCCCTATATATTCCTATTATTTTATTAACATTTAATATCTACTGGTGTTATTTTCTCACTGTGCTATTTTATGTGTTGTTTTTAGCGTCTTTCATTTGCTGATAAAATTAAAGTAGAATTAGTAATCTCTGGGTTTTAAGGAGCTCAATGTATATCATAAATATGAAAATAATTATTAGGACAAATAGGGCAACTTAGCTAGAAATGTCATGATTTTTAGTGGTTCTTGTTTAAGCAAAAAATTTCAAGTTCCTTGTATCGAAGCAATTGTCAAAAGGGAGAACTCTGAATTTGTGCTCTTCAGGATGGTAGCCATTGGTCACATGTAGCTTATGGGCTCTTGAAACATGTGCATTGAGATATGCTGTGTCAAATACACACTTATTTTGAATATTTAATATGAAAAAATATGTAAAATATATAAAGAATCTCACATAGATTTTACATTGAAATAATATTTGGGCTATGTTGAAGTAAACAAAATTTATTATTAAATTTAATCTCAGTTTCTCTTTTATTTTTAAATTTTTTCCTAATGGGTGCATGTGCTCAATGGAGTGAACAGAGAGGAAAGAGAGAGAGCAAGAAAGTGAGAAAGCAGTCCCTTCTCTTCCATTTCTATCTCCTGTCAGGATTTTCGGCAGGCAATCATGCACATGCACCTGGTGTGTTTTGCAAGCACCAGATCTGGAACTCAAACCACACAGTTGACCATGTGGAATACTGCTGCCCTAACCAGTGTGCCACTAGCTGTCCCCTTTTTTTCATGTGGTTATCAAAAAAGTTATATTTGCTTGTGACTCACATTTGCGGCTCATGTTATATTTTACTGGACAGAACTGGCTCTAGATCCCTTTTGATAAGTAATATATTGTATTAGATACCATTTTTCTAAGGTGATATCAACATACCACTATGGGGCCAGCTGATGGTGTGGTGGTTAAGGGCAAATCCCACATGGCCAACTATGTTGTTTGAATCCCTGGGGCGGGGGTGGGGGGGCTGTAAAAAACACTGGGCACATGTACATGCATGCCCAAAATCCCAAGAGGAGAATGAGAAGAGATTATAGTGTGGCCATTCCCTTTGGGTGGAGGGTTTGCTTCTTACTTTTTCTGTCTCTGCTGAGTGCACATGCTCTATAGCGCATTATACACACACACACACACACACATCACTGTGTTAGTGTATAGAGGTTAGGACTTTAAAATTGCCTATTTTCCTCAGGACAGGAGTTTTCCATATACTATGTCCCTGGCGTAAACTGTACAGAGCATTGTCGCTGTGTATTATGTCCACCCGGCTCCTTCCCTGTGCTGTGTCCCTCACTCTGGCCACACAGAGCAGCTCATCAGAACTGAGGGCCTCTGGGTAATGTCAGCATACTTGCTGCTTGCTCTCTACTGTATTGCTTCTGAAATGTTTCTTGAAAATGAAACTGCTTCCACAATAAGTTTCTTAATTATGTCATAGGTTTACCATGAGGGTATACAAACAGATCCTCAGCAGTAGCTAATTTTCTTTTAATTGTATCTCATTCTTACGTTGGAATTTCCCATTTCTTATTCATGCAAAGCTCTAACACATGTTAATCCATTACAGGTGGAGTAACTAACACCGCACAGTATCAGAACAGGCTAATGGTATATGAACCTAACCAGGTAAGAATCATATAAGAAAAACTCATTACCTTAATTAAAATGAATTTTAGAAGATTTCCACAGTAATTAGTAATTGGAGTGCCAAGGTAGTACACACACGCATGCATTTCAAGCTTATATAGAGAAAAGGAAGCATCGGGATGAACTGTTTTTTGGATCCTTTTTTTTGTTTTGTTACATTTCTGCTCCTCTCATTTCATGCTATACCCAGTGCTTCGTTCTTTTAGAGTTTTGCCTAATGTAGAAAAGATCTGGATTTTCTGTTGCTGTGTCCTTGTGGAAGGGGTGCTATTCTAGGAGCGGAACTTTCTTATAGTTTCATTATTCTCAAATGGAATACTAAACATTGTTTAACTTAATAGAAGCAGAATGCCCTAGAACAGTAGCTAGCACAAGTTTGAAGTAGAAGGTTATATTTATTTATTTATTTATTTATTTAGTCTAACAGCTGGGGCCTGAATTAGAAGCATTTTGTTGATGCTGGGTCCTTCTCCTGCCTACCTTATATACACTTAATGGATTTTCCTCCCAGAAGGGCAGATTCTTTTTTTTTCCTTCTACCAAAATATGCATCATCTTGACAAATATCTGTTAAATTTTGCTATTTTTGTAACCTGAGCAATATAAATACTTTTCTTGATTTGACAATATTCCAAAATGATTTGGTTTGGGGGTTTAATATTCATCAGCTGAAGGTAATAAGATATAAACCAACAGGTTGGCTTCAGCAGTCTGAGTTGGGTCTGGCTGCTAAATACTTACACAGTGTGATCTGTGGTGTATTTGGTATTTTTTCATTGTAACAATTACTTGATTCTGAATTTAATGAAGGCATTTCTGTCTTTGCAAGTATGTTTCCTGATGTCATTAGAAGCTGTAGATTCCAGAGACCCAATGTCCATGGGTCAGTTGTCTCAAGAGGGATCATTAATTGTAGTTGTTTAAGTTTGGTGCACATGTGGTTAAAGAGGAGGAAGGTGTTAACATTTCTCAAATGAGTTCTGTTTCATGTTTGTACACACATGCTCTTTTTAAAAATTCTGCTGGCATATTGTTTACAGTGGGTACTGGCAAACATCACATCTGCTTGCATCTTGCTCAGAATCTCAATAACTCTATCATTCAGCCCTGGTGCTTATTTCTCTTGTAGGCCTTTGTGGAGAGTCGATAATGCCTGCCATCTGCCACAGAGCACATCGCTACCTGCCAACAGGCAGGCTGGGGTGACCTCTGCTTCCCCACCACTGATTAGTATTCACACGCCAGCTTATTAGGAATGACCCCACCAGGCCTTTCTGTTTCTTTGCCTTTGCAGCGGTTGGCGGCTCACCTGGCAGGCACTGCATTGAAGGAAGCTAAAGATATAATCAGGGGATGCAGACAGACTTCGCAAACCAGATGGCATCCGTAGTCTTGTGGCAGGGGACTGGACTGCTAATGCAAACATTGGTTCCTAATACTATAATAGGTTGTCTCGTAGAAAACTAAGAATAGCATCACCGAGTTTTGCATTCAATTCATGCATGCATGGTGTAATAAAAGAGTTTTCTTAGGACAGTATGATAATTTTATTAGAAAAGATACTGGATTGGAGGGAAACATGATATGTTAAAAAGGAGAAGTGGATAAATCTAAATCTTTTCAAACTGTATAAATTACTTTTTCTTCCCCCCCTCTGGAGTGTATCTTTAAAAGAGCAATTAGAAGTGAGCTAGTATACATGCCTATAGTGAATGAACCAATGTTTTATAAGCTTTTTGTTGTTGTTGTTGTTTGCTTCTTTCCTTACAGCTTTGTGAACTGGTGAAATTCTATGTACTCAAAACATCATATGATTTTTTTGGTTGAAATCCAAATTTTTCTTGGCAGAAAGGAATCTGGGTTCTTCCTGTTTAGTGTTTATATATCAACAGAGAGAAAATGGTTAGGTTTGTCTTTCTGTCCATGACTTAGTTTACTTACATGTTCATTACTTAGTTGAAATTTAAAATTAAAGCTTTATTTTATTTTCATCTAATTTTACAATTTACATTTTAAATAGGAGCCTTATCTTAAGAGGAATTGAGCATATTCTCATTCTTGAGGGTTACCTACGATCAAATATTGAAGGTTTCATCTCCCTAAAGTTATGTGAAACTTGGCTTTTTACTCAAACAAATACATGCATGCTTAGGAATAACTTTTCCCAATTTGGCAGAAGATGTGAATATAAATATGTAAAGGAGGTTGATACAAAGGCAGTGTGGGAGGTTTGTTGCTGAACCAAAGCTTAGCTCTTCCATCGATCTCTAGAGGTTAATTTTGGAAAGAACAGCAAAGGTAGCCTCACTCTAGCTTATTTAGGGGCCTCAGATACCCCACTGATTCTACCACAGTAATTTTTAAAAAGGGAACATGTATTGAACATTTGTTATATGCCAGACAGTCTACTAAATTCTTGATGAAATTCTTTCTTTAGCTCACTTAATCTGCACAACAGACTCATCAGGTAGGTTATTATTATTCCCATTTTATAGATGGGGAAGCAAGCAGAGGTTAATCACTCCAGGTCATACACAGATTATAAACCCAGCATTCTGGATCTTAACCATTATACCGCCGTACTCAGTACTCCTAGCCATGTACTTACACTCTGAAGTAATCTGTATGACTAAATTCCCTGGGCAAGACAAGTCATGAAAATTTCAGTGTTCTCCTTATAAAATGCAACCTAAAGAGGAAATGCCAGATGTTATTGCAAAATAGAATTGGAAGAGATGCAGTTCTTCTGTACTTGTTCTCACTTAAGAAGCCCATATCTTTTAACATACATAAACACATTCAAATAGAATGTTTAGGGTTCCCACTATTAATGAGGCATCTACTGTTGTTTTCTTCTATGGAGATCTCTGATTAACAGAATGCACTTGAACTTCTTTTTTCAGAATAAGTGGATAAGCCGCAGCCCCATGCTGCAAAGAAGGGTCTACCATTCCATGGCTGCTGTCCAAAGGAAGCTTTATGTACTTGGAGGCAATGACCTTGACTACAATAATGATCGGATCCTTGTGCGCCATATAGATTCTTATAACATAGACACTGACCAGTGGACGCGTTGTAATTTCAATCTCTTGACAGGCAAGTACCTTTACTTAAGTAAACCACGAAAAGCAGGGATTCAAGTTGCCAAACTTATTTCCCTAGATGTCTTTAGCACAACACTAAATATTAAATCCATAGTGGTAGAAAAATTTGCTTTTAATAACCAGAAAGGTATGGATTATTTACCTAATAATGGAAGTGGACTTCTTCAGCTATCTGAGCATCTAGTTTCTCAGGGTATTACTGTTGTGCACATTCTTGTGTGGCCAAGAGAAGCACATCAAGTCCATTATCATCAATCAGTATTAACATAGCTACTCTGACACAAGCAGGAGGAACTAGCCACTGCAAGTTTGTCTTTCTATAGAAGCAATTTAGTTTGTACTTCTCACTGCTTTTACTCTTCTACTTCTCAGAAGGTTAGGAGAATGGTCTTCATTATTTGTCACTTTCAAATAGTTGCTGAGAAACTACACCTTGGGATAGTTCCGTACATGAAGGTTTGTCTACATTTCTGGCCACGTGTACCCATCCAAGCATTTCCAGAGCACACTAGGTATGGACCATCCTCATCTCAAAGGTGAATGACAGGAAAGCAGTGAATAACTTACCCCTCATAATTTTTTTTTGAACTTGAGAAGATTTTCTCCCTTATCAGCTGTGTTATGTTATTAAAATCCACAGTCAATCAGACCTCTTTCAAGGCTGTTCAGATAATCTCAAACTCTAATGGTGGGTGGGACTGGCTCCTGAAGATGCTTTAATATTAAGCGGGCAGTCACTCACAGCTGCTGCTGGGAGAGGCTACACTGGGAGCATGACCAGAGGTTTGGATGCTTTGTATCAAGTACTGCTTTTGCAAAATGATGTCTTAATGTGTATTTTTAAGGTAATTTATTTCTCCATGAGTGAGAGGGATAGAGAGGGGAGGAGAGACAGCACCCCCAGCAGGGTCTTAGCACCATGATCCACCACCAGCCTTAGCACTGGTTTGTGAGGTCTCTGGGTATGAACCTGGAATCTTCCCACATGGAGCAGCCTCACAGAGCATCACATTTTACTGCTGCTGTGCCGCCATCTGTCCCTGCAAAATGACTTTTGAGAACTACATACAAATATGTAACTCTTGAATTTTAGTGGTACCTTAGACCTCGATCCCCGGATCTGGGATTCTGCTATAGGATCCAGTTTATTTATTACCCCAGTCAATCCTTTGTCAGCCCATCAATATAAAAAGAGCTTCACTCTCTGATGGCCTCCAGGGAAGACTGTGTGGCAGTGAGTTATTCCGTCTCTTCTTTCGAAATGGGAAGGGAAACCTTTCATCATTTTGGCGTGTCAGTACCTAGGGATTATCCAGGATGGTCCCAGCTCAGGAACTTTAACATAATCTTAAAACTATTGTGTATGTAAAGAAAGGAACAGCAGTAACTTTATCAATTTTTTTCAGACATTTGTCTTCATTTGGAGCATGCTAGGGGCATGGTTCTGTTTTATTGGCTTCTTGGGGTTACAACTGTTAACTTTACAAATGTAAGCTCTTGCCTAAGAAGCATTTGTGAATACAAGAGGTGTTTCACCTTTCTAAAATATATTTTGTTTCCACCACTATAAGTTAATGGCATATGATATAGTATAGAACAGCTTACTGCTGCTGTATTTAAAGTGTATTTACTAACTTGGCTAATAGGTGTTTTGGCCTGGTTTTGACCCCACAGATTCATTCACTGAGAAATAGTGGTTAATTCTTCCTAGTCCTGTGAGGCAGTGATTAGTTGCTACAGAAATCCCATAGAGTACACAGGTATGCCACAGGGGGAAACTGTAGCCCTCAGTGGCAAAAGGGTTAATTAAAACATGTAAGAAATGGACTTTTTTTTTTTCTTTTTACTTAATTCTCTTTACTTTAGGCCAAAACGAATCTGGAGTTGCTGTTCATAATGGAAGAATATATTTAGTTGGTGGATATTCAATTTGGACAAATGAGCCTCTGGCTTGTATCCAGGTGAGTGGTTAAAGTTCTTTTTGAAGTTTGCTCAAGAGGTTCTGTGAGGTTTCTTTTTGCAGTGCTGCTACTGACGGAAGAAAGATTTATATGTAGAAAGAGGCTCAAGGTTGCTTTCTTGGTGCAGCCAGTTTAGTCACCAAACTTCATCTTGTATTCTAAAAATGACGCCTACTAAATGACTGAGCCCTAGTGAAAATAAAGATGGGATGAGTTTTAGATGTAATATACAGATGTACTTGGTGAATAATGTGATATATTGGTATATTTGGGAAACTCAGATAGCTCTCTTTCTCATAAACCAAAAAAAAAGTCTAAAAATCTTTGGAGTGCTTTTATAACCCCAGAGCTTAACAAATGCTTTCATTGCATACCGTTGCCTTACTTCTGTATCTCAAGTCATTAATTTCTATACATGCCACCTACAGAGGTGTTCTTCCTTTCTGGCACAGGCTGTGAGCAGTAGTGGTTCTTGACTGGTCTGACAAGGACAATCTCTGCCCAAGAAAAGCCCTGGCACATCAGCACGTGAGCAGTCCAGGCTGGGCAAGGTGCCAGCTGGGCCTTTCAGAACAGCAGTAGCCTTTGTTGATATACAAAACTCAAAGCATTAGTCCTGTTATTATTTTACAATTCTTACCAGTTTTCTATTTTATATCTTATGTGATAAAATATTCACTTGTAGTAGCCTTGGCTTTTTTCCTAATCTCCAGAAAAGTATATTCCTTTAACTACTCATGTAATCTAATCTCATCTTTGTGGTAGACATTTTTTTTTTTTTTAATTTGCCAGAGGGCACATGCCCTCACCAGACACAGAAAGCACCCCCTAAGAGAGTGTGGTCACATTGCAATCCCTTTTCCTCCATGTGTCCATCTCCATCCTGTCAGGATTTTGGATATGCATGCACAGGTACCTAGCACACTGGGGCCGGGAGTCAAACTGTAGTCAGCCCTCTGGAATCCAACTCTGTTAACCACTAGGCTTTAGGGAAACATTTTATCCACTGCTATAGTATCTTTAAGGATTGCAGAACTATTCAAGCTTTTTTTTTTCCTTCAGTTACATCTCATGAGGTAAATAATTTTTCAAGGAGCTTTTCCATTTTTTAATTTTCTAAACTACTAGCATAGAGTTGTTATCTTTTTAGTATCTCTCTTTACATGTATAATATTGGCTTTTCTATTCTCTTGATTTGTCTTACCAGAAGTTAGTCTGGGAATTTTAACAAACTTCTAATATCCATACACGTCAAGTAGACAAGAAAGCAACAAGGATAGGATAGATATGAAAAGCATAATTAGGGCCAGCAAGGAGCATGGTGGTTAAGGCACTAGATCCCACATGGCTGACTTTGTGGTTTGAGCCCTGAACCCGGTGGCCTGAAAAACACATGCTGGGCTTGTGTCCAGCATCCCGAGAGAATGGAGAAGAACTGATCGCAGTGTGGCCATCTTTCCTGGGGAAAGGGGTGATTTCTGACTCTCTTTGTCTCTCTCCAGCAAGTGCATGCATCCTATCCCATGGCAAAACAAACACACAAACAAAAACAAAAACAAAAACAAAAAGAAAGGCATAATTAGAAGCTGATCTGAATGGATGTGAGTTCTGGATTGAATAGTTGTGGAGGATATATTTTTCTTAGCATATATGGAATATTTACCAAAGCTGATCATGCAATAGAATTAACATTCGAACACATTAAATTTCAAAAATTAAGTATTGTATAGTATTATGTATCTCTAATACAAGGCAGTTAAGACTTAACAAAAAGTTAAATAAATCCCCATTTATGTGGAAAGAATAAAACACATTGTTACATAATTTATGGGTTAAAGAAGTCATAACAGAACCTTGAAAAATTCCCAGAATTGTGTGATAATGAAAAAATACATGGCAAAGCTTGTAGGATAGATATGGCACAATAAGTTCGATAAAAACCAAAAAATAAACTTGAAGAATGTGAAAAAAAAGATGAAAATGAGAGGTAACCAAACAGCCAGGAAACAATATAGAAAATATTACAAAGCCATTTAAAAAAAAGGCACTTGACTTTACGGGTGTTAACTGAAGGCTGCCTTGTGCTAGAGCTTAGTCATTTTTTTCTTTTTTTTTTTTTCTTTTTAAAGAGATTTTTGCTGTAAGGTGTGTGCACTCACTGGAGAGACAGAGAGTGAGACAGTGAGAAAGCAGCCCTAGGAGGAATGGTCACTCCAAAATCCCATTTTCTACATTCTCCTCTTGGGATTTTGGGCATGCACTCACATGCACCCAGTGTAAGTTTCAAGCTGCAGGGTCCAGAGACTTGGACTGGCAATATGGGAGTCCAGTGCCTTAACCACTATGCCACCTGCTGGCCCCAAGTGCTTCTAGTCTTTACCCATGTGCCTATTGAAAATCTTCATAGTTTTTAAAATTTTTTGTCTTCTCAGAATTGGTAAAATGTTGAACTAGGCAATGGGCAGTGCTCTCTTGTGCCAGACACTTTTTTTAGGTGGCTTTGCGACTCTTCATTTGACTACTTGTACAAAGGAAATAAGTTTGGTTTTACTGTGAAGTAGTTAATTTTAAATATACTTTTGAGTATGTTTCTACTAATTTTACTATCAAATTGGATCAAGAAGTGAAAAAAAGGTGATGCCATAACATAATAAAAGAATAAAGAACATACATATCAAATTCAGGAGATCACAGTACTGCCATAGTTCAAAACTTTTCACTGAGGCTTTTGTTGCTGTGTTTATAAGCCAGAGGGTACATGTGCTAGCGAGAGAGACAGAGAATGGGAAGAGAAAGCACTTCCATGAGAGGCATGGTCATGCTGCTATCTATTCTCCTCCATTTCTCCATCCTGTCAGGATTTGGGGCATGCATGCAAACATGTCAGGTGTTTTTTAAGCCTCAGAGGTAGTATTCAAATCATGACCAACCATGTGGAATCTGGTTCTCTGAAGAACCACGATGCAGTGGAGCCAGACCAACATTTTCCTTTAAAGAATTATTATTTTCTAAAAACTTTTCTAAAGAGCATGTGTGCTCACCAGAGATAAATAGCTAGATAGATAGGGACAGAGAGACAGAGAGAGAGAGACAACCTCTAGGTCTAGGACTCTTAACTGCAATCAGCCATGTGGGAGTCCAACTCTTAACTACCATGCCGTCTGCTGGCCCCAACGAAACCAATTTTTACAAACAAAAGCAAATAAAACTTCAGTCACTATAGTCACAATGTTTTTGTTCCTCAAAGAGTTATCTTTAAAACTGTTACTAGTTGGGGACCAGCAGTTAGCGTAATGGCTATGTTGCTGGACTCCCACGTAGTCGACCGCGGTTCTAGTCCCGGACCCCGTGGCTTAAACTCACGCCGGGTGCTTGTGCGTGCGTGCCCAAGATCCCAAGAGGAGAATGGAGGAGAAGGGATTGTGGCGTGGCCACCCCCCGGGGGGTGATTTCCTGCTTTCTGTCTCTCTTTGTCTGTCTGATGAGTGCACGAGCCCTATAGCAAAAACCTCTCAAAAAAACCAAAAAAAAAACCAAAAAAACTGTTACTAGTTATATACACTAATTAATTGTTAACGACATATGGCTGGAACCAGGCAAGCAAATCTGTCTTCAAGAATGAAGTACATATTATAAATCCCTGAGGGTATTTAAGGATATTCTCAGGATTAAGGTGTCTCTAAAAGAGGGCAATCAAAAACATTTTAATCAATGCCCGTATTAGTAAAATAAATGTTACCTCTGAGACCATATAATAAAATATTGCAGTACATTTGCTTTCTTAAAAAAGTCAGCATCATGGATAGTTCTGTGTTCTAGTAGACATGAATAGAATTAATAGAACTAATAGAGTAGAACTAATCCTTCCAAAAGGCCATGTTTATTCTCTGGTTGGCATACCGGTCCTACGAAACACAGGTAAGGTTGGTAGGAGTTTTTAAGAGCATTTACTGCTGATAGATAGTGTCCATCTGAACATGTGAATTGTCCCTTTCAGAGATGTTTGGAATAGAAATCTTTATGGACAATAGATTCATCACACATCGTAATTATTCATGATAGTTATTGACAACTGGTTATACAGGTTATTATTCATGTTCAATTAAGGTTCAAATTTTTTTAATTTTATGGGTGGCTATAGAACTATTTTATTTTGGTACGCTAATGGTATGAAGTGATAGTTGGAGAGACTAGCTAAATGTACAGAAGCAGGCCACTTCTTTACCACTTGCTTCCGGAAAAAGAAGGTAATGGGATACTGCAATAGTGTTTATGAGAAAAAGTTGGTTAAGCCAGTCAAAATTCCCAAGTATAATTTAGTAGGTTGAAAAGTACAGGAGAGTAGAGGAAATCATATGCATAATAAAAATATCAGAGTTTAACATTATTGTCATAAATCACAAATCTATATAATCCTTAATCCAAGGTTAATCTACAAATCATTTATCCAATTCCCAATTAATGAAGGTCATACTTAAATAGTTAAGATTGTTCCACAAATAGCCAGAACCAGACATTTTTTGGTCCTTGAAAATAAAAGCTAGTAGCCTGTCTTGTTGGAACAGCCCCTGCAATGCCCTAATCCAAGCTCATTTAACTCATTTGTAGGACTCAGACAACTGGGCTGAAAAACGTCAGTTGTTGAGAAACCTGCTGTTTTATTGCTGCTCCTGCTCTGGTTTAGCACAGGTTACTCAATCACAGGGGCAACCCAAGTAAGAGAAAAGCTGATAGGCTCTTAATACTTGTTTTGGACTTGTTCGTAGGAAAGACCTATGGAAAATAACTGGAAATAGATTCCTGATGAAAGTGGAGGTGCTCTTGTCTGTTTCCTGGGTGTGTAAGCAGGCTGACTCTAGCCTGATATGCCATGGGTGAAAAGCAGCACAAGGGAGCAGCTGCCTACGGGTGTGAGTGGTTAGTCTGTTTCCAGATCATCTCTACTGTGCTCTTCAGTTATTATTTCCTTTTGGCTGGAGGATATGCTGCCAAGCTGGCACGGTCTCCTCCCAAACGCCTTCTTTCTGCCAGTTTACAGGGGAGTGTTTTGGAGAAAAATTGCCAACACTTCCTTTTCCCTTCTCAGATTAAATACATTACATCTGCTTAACATATGCAGTCTCTGTTGGCCCAGGGAACCAGACAAAAGTCTCTGAATGATTATCTCACTGGTATTTTGCCTTCTGAAAATGTATGCAGTTGCGGGAAGGAATATCATGAATGGAACAAAATACTTGTTGAGTTGCATTCTTGAGGTCAGGTACCATCTCTACCACTTACTGGCAGTGTGACTTTCTGCAAGTTAATGTTCTCTGTATCCCAGTTTTCTTCATTATAAATTGAACACAACCTCATCTGGCTGTGGCCAATATTGTGATCCCTAATTTACTTTCTGTATTTAGTGAAATACTAATAAAAATCCCATTAAAATTGTCCTTTTTGTCATAGAGTGGGGACTAATACTTATCAAATTGATCTTAAAGTTTCTGTAAGAAAGTAAATGCTGTGGGACCAGCAGTTAGCATAATGGCTATGTCACTGAACTCCCATGTAGTCGGCTGCGGTTTGAGTCCCAGACCTGGTGGCTTAAACTCATGCTGGGCGCGTGTGTGTGTGTGTGCGTGCCCAAGATCCTGAGAGGAGAATGGAGGAGAAGGGATTGTGGTGTGGCCATCCCCCCTGGGGAGTGACTTCTCGCTTTCTATCTCTCTGTCTCTCTGGCGAGTGCATGTGCCCTATAGCAAAAACCTCTCAAAAAAAAAAAAAAAAAAAAAAAAAAAAAAAAGAAGAAAAAAAATGCATAAGAATGCAGAAATTGACCTTATCCAGTCAAGTATTACTTACCTTGCATTATTGAACATGCATTAGGAAACTGAGAAAAAGTTTGTGTTTAGTATATATTTTTTATATTTATTTTAGAGAGATTTTTGCTGTACGGTACATGTGCTCACCAGAGAGACAAAGTGAGAAATCACCCACCCCCACGGGGAGGATGACCATGCTGCAATTCCTTTTCCTCCATTCTCCTCTTGGGATTTTGGGCATGCATGCATATGCACCCAGGGTGTTTCAAGCCTCTAGGTCCAGGACTCAAACTGCACTTGGCTATGTGGGAGTCCAGTACCTTAATCATTATGCCACCTGCTGTCCCCAGTATATAAGATACTTTAAAGTAGTGACTAGGTATATTGTTCAATAAATGGAGCTGAATGTCCATTTGGGCAAAAGCTGAAAGTGCAATTCTTTTGTTCTAGGATTTAGAAATCTCCTCTTTCACGACCCTGGATCCTCACATGAAAGGACCCAAATAAAAATAACGTATTACTGCAGTTAATGGCTTAAAAGTTATCCACACAGGTATAGATGAAGGCATGAATGGACAAGATCTTTAAAGGGTACCAAAAGGTCTGTGGTTGTAAAATGGGCCACACACATACATGCAGGATGCAGGTAGAGGAAAATGAACCAAAGGTTGGGACAGCAAAAGGACAAAGCCAACAGCCAATTCTTGCTTATTTTTAAACCCTGCAGTTTAAGGGATGAAAGGTTTTTAGTTTTATGAGACAGTGGAGAAAGAGGTATTTTGGACAGGATCTTATCATATCCCAATTTTCCTATCCCTGCCTTCCAGTCACCTAGACACAGCTGTGTGCACCTCACCTCGCTTATTAAGGTTTTGCCGGGGACTGAACCCAGGCCTCCCATGCAACCTCACCATCATGCAGCAGCACTCTCCCACTTCCTGCACTGCGGTGGGGCTAAGGAAGGTTTTCAATGAGGTTAGAGGAAAGTCAAATATAGAGAGATTAAGATGATTGAGGGGTGGAAAAGTCTGATGGTTGTGACAAATGAGATGAGAGCAGCTTTCTTGAAGAATGCATTTTCCTAGTAGAAGTAAGATTAATCCAGATTCAGTGATGTGCCAGGTAAGAAAAATGGAACTCCAGCTTGATGGGGAAAAATCTCCAGAACAGACTGAACTCATTTCACACCTGCCACTAAGCTGTGTTATAATATTCTACTATGCCAAATACTGAGGTAGATGTTAGCTGTATGGTCTTATTTTCTTCATTGTACAGATGAGGATTTGTAAACCAATATGGCACTACCTACTAAGTAGTTCGGGCAAGTTTTTTCAACAAGTCTAAGGCAGTTTTACTTAATGAGAATAATGCTACTTACTTCACTGTTCTGAAGATTAAATAAATATTAAATATATAT